TGAGAATTGCTTATGTCAAAATGAACCCCAATATTATGTATAACTGTAATGCACTAATAAAAACATAAAAAATTACAACCTTAGTAAACATCTAACTTCAAAATGTCTTGCACATGGTGGATACTAGCTCATTTAAATTTTTCATATATAATCAATTAGGGATCAATTTATTAGAGGACGTTCTTTGAGCTCCTATCTATCTGTGTCAGGAACTGGGCTGCTTTGACTGTTCACTCATACCCTTTATTATGTTCTCTGCACCCACATTGATCACCTGCACCTCCCTGTAATTATGGCTACTTCCTTGCTCTTGGTTATCCTGAACTGTTGGCCCATACACTGTCACATTCACTGTGCTTTGTTAGGACTACTACCTTTCTATGGCCTGGTCTTGTGGCAACAACTAGATGTGCCCTAAATTTCCTAGGATGACCCCAATTTCAGATATTCCCTCCACTGTCTAATTGTCAGACCTCGTATTCTAGTTTGTTTGGTTAGCAAATATGGACACCATTGTTTTATCTCTTTCTGGTCCTACATAGTTCATGATGGGAGAATTGAGCCCCATGAAGTTCTATCATTTGTTCTTTTTTTTCTTTTTATGGATTTTGTTTCAAACTGTACAATAGCCAATTGAAAACCCCCTTTTCTAGTTACAGTCTAATTAAGTCTATTAAAAGGATTTGTTCAATCAGTACACTTTCAAATATTTTGATTTTGATATGTAAAATATTTTTAAATTAAAAGTGAAAAATTTTAAATGAGAAACTACCATATTATGGTCACAAAATTTTTGAAAAATATTGGTGTGAGGAAAAAAAAGTCACCCAAATCCCAAAATACAGAGACAGCCAATGTAATATGCTCTCATTCTTCTTTCTTTCACATTAGTAAAACAAATTTGGTTATGATACCCATTGGCTCCCATCCTCCCTCTAGCCAGTATTTTCAACCTTGTGAAAATGTGCCCTTCCTGTTAGCCTATTTAAATTTTGGACTCATATCATTATGATGGAGTTTTACTGTACGTACACATTTTATCTAAACAGTATCAAAACAATGTGGCCCATCCTGTGGTCATTACTTAGTGGGAGCTCTGATGACATGGAAGGGACTATCATTTGTTCTTATGTACTTATTCTATTTAACTGTACCCTTCCTATGTTTGCAAATAAATCTTAGATGGCTTCAAGGGTAAGTGCAAAATAGAGTGAATCAGAAAAGAAACTATAAACTGCATCAGGTATTTTAAGCAGAGGGTTGTTCCACAGGGAATTATATCAGTGTTGGAAAACTGGAAGAACAAAAAAAGGGGCAGAGAGATAAACCACAGACACTAACCAAAGGAAACATGTCTCACTGCAGTCATCTGTGTCATGAGGTTCTTACCTGGACCGTTGAATCTATGAAAAGTCTTTAGTTTTAGGCACTGAGTTACACAGAGACTGATTCTTATGGAATTTCTCATAGAACCATGGAGTTTCAATAGGAACAGTCCCAATGCAAGAGTCCAAATTCATATAAAATTTGAGTTTTCACAAACTTACTTCCAAAGCTATTTGATAATCATGATAAACAGGCAACTTTGGGGAATTTCAGTTTACTAAATGGTTCCCTTGGAGCAGTGACACAGAAGATGGTATCTAAGCAGGGGCCAAGATACAAGCACCAATCTGATCCTTGGGATCAAAGGTTTTTAATGTGACTCAGGTGCTGTTGGTTTCTAGAAGCCTCTCCTGGCAATATTGTGGCATTATTTCCTGGCATCTCATAGAGAAGGCTTTTTAGTCTATGAAAATTGTTTTCACAAATATAACCCATCTCCATACAGACAGGCCATTTGAGAAGCCCAGGGAGTTGGATGATTTTATGGATTGATGGAGAAATGTCATATGACAAAATTCAATACCTATGAATAAAAATTCTTAGCAAAATAGGAATAAAGTGTGAGATGGGTTAAATTATATCTTGTAGAACATTTAAATAGGTTCTAATCCCACACCTAGGAATAGGCCTTTTTTTCAGTAATGGCAATATTATGATGGGATTACCTCAGATGGGGTCATAATGGAGTAGGGCAAGCTGTTGTTTCAGTGGGACTTGTAACCTTATTATAAGGAGAGGAGGGGGGTGCTGCTGGTTTATGGGACTTGTAACTGAAAGGTTAATAATCTTGAGAACTGTTTGCTAATCTTGTTCCCAGAATGTGCTGTCCCCAACTGCCAAACTGCAGAATGTATCCCCTCACCCGGTTGCATGCAAACCGCCCACTCGCCCTGACCTGTCAATGAACTTCCCTCCCTGCCCTCTCCAAGGAAAGTATATAAGCTCTGCTTAAGCTGTTCTCAGGGCTCTTTGCTCTATTCAAGTGAGCTCTGAGCCCCAGCATGCTGGACCCCAATAAACCCTTTGCTGTTGCATGAGACAGTCTCTTGGTGGTCTCTTCCTCCGACGCTCGCCTGACCTTTACAGTAACCTTATAAGGAGAGGAGGGCAGGCTGCAGGTTCAGTGGGACTTGTGACCATATTAAAATCAACATCCCTTCCACTTGCATGATGATAAGTGATTCTCTTTGTCACTGTTCTTTTATAGTCTCTAGAATACCGTGTGAGTGATGCAACCAAGAATCAAAGGTCAAGCAAGGATACGGGCCTATCATGCTTAGGACAAAAGATTTTCTTCTGCCCCCTGCCTAATTCCTAATTTAAAATGCCAGCACGGAAAACTGCATGTCTATATGTAGAAGAATGAAATTAGGTGTCTATGTTTCCTTCTGAACAAAAGTAAAATCAAAAAGGATTAAACACTTGGGAATTAGACCAAAACCCTTGCAAAAGCCAGAAGAAAACAATCTTATAGACGCAGATGACAACCAACTTCCTCAACAACACCCTTTAAAGCTCAAGAAATAAAACCAAGAATTAATAAGTGGGCATTACCTTTAACATGAGCCAGAGAAACAACTTGGTGTGAAGCTCTAGCACCATAGCTTCAGGACCAGAAAATGCTCTTCTTGTACATCTCTACCCATTCCCTTCAGTTACTGCTGTCACAACATAACACGTATGCATGGTGTATAGGACTATATGGAGAAATCATGATGAATCTTTAAGCCTCCCTCTCAGCCCCACAGATGTTACTACTGTGTTCTAAGGTGTCTTAGGGAACCGTGCCTTTTGTTGCATCATCACCATGTGAGTGAGGTGCTACCATCCTTTTGAAACCAGTTATTCCAAGTTGAAAGAAAAAGGAATTGAATACCTTTAGTGTAGATGTGTTGTGGTCTTTCAAAAAGAAGATGGGAAATGTGGCCTCTGGTAAGAAGGCCATGTGTTCTGTCAAACCTTATATAGGAGTCAAACAAGCTTCACACTAAAAGAGAGATGGGAAGAATGGGTACTGGGATACAGTAGTCTGCACAAGAGCTAAAGGGTTCTCAGCACGTAATTATATTGTTGTTAAACTAAAATAGTAAATACCAGCTTTTGCACTGGTTCATTTAAATGACTGCAACATAAAGATGGCTTAGTAATTTTATAAACATCCTGGAAGCATTCTTGGTACAAATTGCCATGGGTAAAAAGTATAAAGAAGACCAGGATGGTCTTGCAGACCCTGCCAGGGAGCTGCCAAAGTGCCATGATACTGGGTGCCAGGTTTCTGCCTTGGACCCCCTCCACTCTCTGGTGGGGAAGCCCAAACCAGCAGGGGCCCAGGCCATGGGGATAAGTTCTCCATGACATAGGGTCTGGAGGTGCCAGGAACCAGGAGACAGACAGGGAGGTGAGGGCTGTGCTGTCCCTATGTGCAGAAGCACGACATGGCCCACACACTTGCATCAGAATTTCCTTATCCTTGGGCTGCCATGCAAACCTTCCCAAGTTCCTCTGCCACAGGAAGGGGTGTTGCCAATCTGGGATCCCTGCTCCTGGTAGCTGTACTGTGGCTCCCTCAGCCAGGGGTCACCCCACCCATTCCCAGGGCTCTCCCACTCATATCCACTGGCAGCCAGCATGCTCACTGCTGGGATTACTGGATTTTTTTCTAACTTTTTAAGAAACTACCAAACTGATTCCAAATGGATTGCTCCATTAAACATCTCCACTAACCACCTAGAGAGAGTTCAAAATTAAAATTGAAATTTCTAGACACTTGAAATTGCCAGGTGTTTTTCTAAATACCTGGTGGTATTCTGTTATGATTTTAATATTAATGAACATCTTTTGATGTACATATTTTCCGTATTTGCCATCTTTTGATGTACATATTTGCCAAGTTTTCCCCATTTTATTTTTCTCATTGAGTTATGAAAGTTCTTTACCATTTTTAAGTTCTTTATGATGGAACATATTGTGCACTGCTCTGTGGTAGATCCTTGTTTTTTATGTTCTAATTAGTTACAAATGACACTAGATTGCATTTTGACACATCATACATAAATGGAGTATAACTTCTCATTCTTCTGGTTGTACATAATGGAGAGTTACACAGGTTGTGTAATCATATGCACGTAGGGTAATGAAGTCCAATTAATTCTACTATCATTCCAACTCCCATACTGCTTCCCTCCCCTTCACTCCTTTCTGCCCAATCTCTATTCTTCCCTAGTCACCCCCCCCATTGTGAATTAGCATATAAGGATTTCTTAATCATTTTAATTACACAATTTGTCTGAAACAAATTTATTAAGAAACATCGCAGAAAAATGAGAGAAAGGACAGAAGAGAGCAGGGTAGGCGAAGCATCCCAGGGAGACAATCTGATGTCTTCTGCAGGTGGGGGCAGAGAAGGGTCCTGATGTCCTGGTGGAGGCAGAAGTGCTCTCAGCTGAAACCCGGGCACAGGAACCTGAGGCAGTCGGCACATCTTGCTCCTGCAGGTCTTCAGAGTCCACATAGCCAAGGGCCACATGAGGAGTGAGGCTCCACAGGGCACAGGTCCTTGGGCTGTGCCCTCCCCTTCATTGGAGCCACGCTGTGTATCTGGCAGGTCTCTGCACTTACATTGGAGCCACTTTATTGCTGACACGTGGAATGCAACAGCACAGTTGTAGCCCAGAGGAAGCAATCCTCCCCACCACCCGCTTCCAGAACTTTCTGCTGGCACAGGATTGCCCAGAGTCGGTCTGGGAGGCTGAATCAGATGCGGGGGTCCTTGCAGGCGGAAAGCGGAAATGGATGGCAGGCTGGCTGGCAATTCTGATGTGCCTCTGCCCTGACACTTGGGCCTCCTCCTGCAACGGAGGCTCACAGGGCAAGGGGCTAAGGGGAGGCTCACTGGGACACCTCTTGGGGAGGAGCAGGGAGCTGGAAGGATCCACGGGCCGGGGGCGAGGGCGAGGCTTCACCCTGGGGGGCGCAGCGGTCCCCTGGAACACGCCCGCCCCCTGGCTTTTCTGGTGCTCCAGGATGAGGTAGGTGGCCATGGCTGCGTTGAACTTCCTCTTGGCCAGAGACACGCAGGTCTTGTGCAGATCGTATCCCATATCGAACATGACGGTCAGTATTTCGGGGTCCGGGTGTCTGGAGAGGGCTTCCCCATAAACCCGGGGTACAGGCTGCTCCCCCTGCGCCAGCCAGGGGTGCTGAAGGATCTGCCTGGCCGTGGGCCGCTTGCGGGGGTCCCGGGTCAGGATCTGGCGGATGAGGATTTGCGCTGCCACAGAAACGCGGTGGGGGAGGCAGTAGGCGCCCCGCACCATCTGCCTCAGCATCTTCTTAGCCGTGGGCCCCGTGAAGGGGCACCGCCCTGTCAACATGAAGTACAGAATGACCCCCAGGCTCCAGACGTCCACCGGGGAGCCCTCGTACGCTTGCCTCAGGATAATCGCGGGGGCAAAGGGGGAGAGGGTGCCCCAGAACTCGTGCAGTTTCTTCCCAGGCTGGACAGTGGTGCTGAAGCCGAAGTCGATCAGCTTGACCTGGCCTCTGGCGTCCAGCACGATGTTCTCTGGCTTCAGGTCCCGGTGCACGATGCCCCTGTCGTGGCAGTAGCCCACGGCGCTCACTGTCTGCCGGAAGAGCCTGCGCGCCTCCTTCTCCTGCAGGCCTCCCTCGGGGACGTGGTCCAGGAGCTGGCCCCCACCTCCGTGCTCCATCACCATGTAGATATTTTGGGGCGTCTCCACCACCTCAAACAACTGAATCACGTGGGGGTGCTTCAGGCTCCTCATCGTATCGGGCTCGGACAGGAACGGGAGGTTCTGCACTGTCTTGGGCAGGACCTTCACTGCCACCTCTGCTCCTGTGGGGCAATGGCGGGCTAGTTGGACCTGGCCGAACCCGCCACACCCGATGTCCCTCAGGACCTCGTACTGGTGGTCCCTCAGGACTGCCTCGTGGCAGGAGCTGGGCTCCTGCGACACTACACTAGTCTCACTACTCTGGATATCCATCCTAAGCAGGAACACCACCAAGGATGCTAGCTTAAAAAAAAATAACAGACTAAAACAACAAATCCAAATCAAAAACACAAACAAGACAAAACAACAAAACCAAACCAAAGAACCAATATCCAAAGACCACCACCAACAACCGCCAACCGCCAACCACCAACCACCAAACACACTAACTAGCTGGGAGTCCGACAGGTCACCATCAAGAGCTTCCTGTACTTGTGGACAAAAACCCAGCCGTGGCCACTCTCTTACATACCTGCCCTTTGAAACTTGTTCACAATGGCTCCTTGTGACATCAGAGCAAGTCATCACCCAGTCATGCCCGGCCATAACTCCCAGGGGTCATCTCCCTTTGGGGCCTCCAGAACTGCTTCCATTTGCAGACTGGGAAAAAGGAAGGACTCCAGGCCTTTTTTGCTTTAGTGGGTTCTGGAGACTGATAGTTACTTGTTTAGCAATTAATATTTGGGTGGAACTTCAATGTAGTTTTCATTTCAGCCTACAAATCTATAACTTTTTGCTTTGAAACATTACAACACATTTACCCTGAAGGTATTCGATTCCTTTTTCTTTGAACTTGGAATAACTGGTGTGAAAAGAATGGTAGCACCTCACTCACATGGTGATACTATACCAAAATGCTCTGTTCCCCTATTACATTGTAGAGCACATTTTTAACATCTATGATGTTGAGAGAGAGGTAGAGTTTAAATTAATTTTCCCATACATTTCTCATATGATTTCTCATTAGAAACCAGTTTCAGAGGTCTTAGTTTGTGGTCAGCTGACTCCATTCCTTGGGACTTGAGGCAAAGCAGGACATCAGGTGGAAGAAGAGGGAAGTGGCTCACATGATGATCAGTAAGCAGAACTATAAGGATCTTCTTTAGTGTGCATTTAAGAACTCCTACTCTAACCCTCAAGGTCACAAGGTAACAAAGATGTTCTCTATTTCTTATAATAGTTGTATAATTTTACGTTTTAGGTCATGAATCCACTTAGAGACAATTTTTGAATAGAATTTAATGTATAGATCAAGTATTTTCATGCTTGTTGAATTTTTTATATATTGATATTCAATTGTTCCCACATGCTTTTTTGGGGGACAGGCTATCTTGTCTTCATTGGATTCTCTTTACGTCTCTAGCAAGAGTCAATTAAGCACACACATGTGGATCTATTCCTGGGCTGTATTCTGCTCTGTTGCTATACATGTGTATCTTTTGTCCAGTAGCATTCAGCAACTTCCTAGGAATCTGTAACCCAACAGTATCAGTCTTTCAAATTTGTTCTTCCCTTCTAAAATTGTTTTGGCTATTCTTGTTCTTCCATGTTTCTAAAAAGAATGAACTTGTTAAATACTAGTACACAAAATTTTTACTTTCGGCAGGAATTCTGACTGGAACTTTTGTTGAATCTGTAGATCAATGTTCAGAGAATTGACATACTTAACAATATCAAGCCTTCCAATCAATGAACATGGTGCTTACTATTATTTATTTAGTTCTTCAATTTCTTTTCTCAATGTTTTGTACCTTATATGCAGATCTTGCACATATTCAGTACGATTTATGTATATTAATGGATGGCACGATAGGGGATCCAGCTCAAAGTTCAGAAAGGTGAGTGGGTTAGGAGGGGACTGGTGAGGCATGTAGGGTGGGTAAGTAACCAGTTCTGCCACTTCTCCCTTCCAACTAGTCCACAGTCATCCATGGGGGCAAGGTGTGTCAGATGGGAGTGAGACCACCATAGGTAACCAACAATGGGAAGAATCATTCCCCACCATGAGATGCTAGACAAACACCAAACCTGGCAGCTAGGAGAGAGCAAGGAGAGTGGGGGAGTCTCTCAGAGGAGATCTTCAGGACCTTGGAAAACTGGCCCAGAGTATCTTTCAACCACAGCCACAGGCACAAGGATTGATTCCATGCCTGTTGTGTGTCAGGTGCTGTGCTGGCTATGGGGATGTCCCTGTGTGGACTAGACATTGCCCTGGAGAGTCAGACTAGAGAGGCAGTGGATAGAAATTGTGATGAATGACAAGAGAAACACCTGGGAAAGCCAGGTGGGTCATGGTGGAAAGCCTAATTTTTTTTACTGGTCGTGAGAGGCCTCTCTGAGGAATGTCCTAACCAAACAAAGATCTGAAGGTTGAGAATAGCCACCCTTTACCACACAGGAGGGAAAGGACTTCGGGAGAGAGTGGTGAGAGCCAGGTCCTTGGGGAGGAAGAAGGCCCCATTGAGATACGGTACAGTGACCTGACACAGGTCAGGGTGTGCGGTGGACTTTGGCTTTCATTGAGAGTGATGAGAAGCCACTGAATGTTTACCCAGGAGAGAAGCATGGTCCAGTTTCTATTTTTCAGAGGTCACTTTGGCTACTGGGAGGAGTCTAGGCTGTAGAGGGGGCAGAGGGGAGGCTGGGAGGCCTTTTAGATGGTTGTTGCAAAAGTCTGGAGCATGGGATGGTAGTAGGACTAGGATGGGTGGTGGTGATGGAGAGAGGGAACTTTCCAAGGTCTCTTTAGGAGACAGGATTTGCTTTGGGAGAACTGAGGCATAGAGCCTGCCTTCCAGGGTTCAGGACAGGAGAATGGTGGGGACCTTGGTCAGTAGTCTGGACCACAGCAGGGAACAGGGTGACAGCTCATCCCTAGGTGTTAAAGGGTCTTGTCTCTAGCTCTGATCTCCCCAGGCCCCCAATCTTGACACTGGAGGTTGCAGAGCTGGTGCTGATTTGAGGGGAGCCTGCCCAGATTGTAAGCTCATCCAGCAATGTCGACTTGGACTTTGACATCTTCCTCAAACATGGATACACCAAGGTCAGCTCTTGGGGAAATGGCAAGGGGAAGTCTGCTCATCCTTTCAGCACACCTTGCCCTATAGGGCAGAGCCTCCAGCCTCATTCCAAACTGGCTCTCTGGGCTGAGGACACAGCCTAGGCCCAGAGGAGGGAGGGGACTCACCAAGATCTCACCACTAGTCAGTAGCTGATCCAGAACCAGGACCAGGCTCCTGCTGCTGTGAGGGGAAGAGGTACTCTGGTCCCTTGCTGGTCCCTTGACCCATGACCTTTTCTGTAGAGCCAGATGTGGGCTCACTTCTGACCTAGCAGGGCATTCCTAGGCTACCTTCAAAGCCCAGGGATATAAGGGCTATTTCAGAAAGACACTGGGAGAGAGGGCAAAGGAGGGAGTATTTCAGGGAGGAAATGACAGGAAGCTGCTTTTAGTACCCCTCTCCCCATCCCCACATACAGTGGGCCAGGTATAGCCTTATGCCCTCTGCATGCGAATCTCATTCACCCCTTATTACAGCCCTAGGGGCTGGGGGCCAGTATTAGTCCCATTTTATAGACGAAGACACTGAGGCTTAGGGCTTAGTCTCTTGACAAGGACAGGCAATTAGCACTCTTAAAGGCTGAGGATTTGAACTCAGAGCTTTCTAATCCCTTAACTACTTCAGTATATCATCCCCATTCCTTCTGGCTACAGCTCACAATTGCTCAGCAATCCGACTTCTGTATTAACCCTTACCACAAAGTCCTGACCCTCAACCTGGATGATGTAGGCTTTCAAGGTGCTGGCAACTACTCCTGAGTGGCCACCAATGCCCGGGGTACCCACACCACTTCCATGATTTTCTGGGTGGTAGGTGAGCATCAGGGAGCGGGCAGGAATCCTGAGGGTGAGGCAGCAGGGTTGGAGAACAAAAAAGCTAATGGCAGAGAGGACACTGTCTTTATCCTGAGCCTAGCTGGGCAGCTGCACCTGCCATCCCAGATCATATCCTGGGACCTGCTCTCCTTCCTTGAAGCTCCTGCTGCATTTGGAGTTAGAACCACACTGACTGATTTGGGAATTGGAGCTCAGTACTTCCCTATTGAACTGTATCTGTTCACTGCCCTTCCTCCATTCCTCCAAGCCTGGGATATTGATGTCACAAGGACATATAAACTGACAAAGATCCTCTGGCGTGATCATGGGGGAAGCTTGGGGTGTCCGAGGGTTCCTCTGACTTATGTTTTCAAATAGTTTTCTCCTTCACATCATGCAGTTCCTCATAGAGGCCTTTCTTGTCTGCTCAAGAACAGCTCCCCAGACCAACTAACTCTACCCTTTATGCTGCTCTGTTTTGTTCATGGCATGAATTGTTCTTTGAAATTGTATTACTGTCACGTGCCCCTTAATATCAGTTACTTGTTCTTAGAAATTCATTTTAGCCACTGTGTGAGCATCTAGAGTGTGCTTACACAAACCTGAGGCATAGAGGTGCAGGCCAATCACTGGACAAGATGCTATTGAGAGTCTGGTAACTCTTTAGTATTTACCCAAAAGAATTAATGTCAGCATACTCTAGGGATATCTGCATATTCATGTTTATAAAGCTGCACAGTTCACAATAGCCAAGTCATGGGACCAGCCAGGTGTCTGTCCAGATGGATGGATAAAGAAAATGCAGTATATATACATGACAAGGTTTTATTCAGCCATAGAGGGGAATAATGTTATTATTTGCAGGAAAACTGATAGAACCAGAGAACATCACGTTAATTGAAATAAGCAAACTCAAGAGAGTCAAAGACTATGTGTTTTCTCTCATATGTGGAAGCTAGAGAGAGAAAAAGAGCACTCATGAAAATAGAAGGGAGATCAGTAGGGTAGATAAAGGAGATTAGTGGGAGGGAAGGCAAGAAGAGGTACAGAAGATTGAAATTGATCAAATGATGTCACATACTTGCATGTGTAAATATGCCACAATGAAACTCATTCTGTATAACTATTATGCACCAATAAAAAAGAGACTGATAAACATGAGATGTATAAAACTGCTACTGGTGTAACAGTAGACTGTTTTACAGTGAGCTCTTTTTATAAATAGGAGTATACTTTAAAATAATGGTAAAAAGTTTAGTATAATAAGTACATAAACCAGCAACATGGTGGCTTATCCTCACAATTGCATTGCTCTACTTTTATACAACAGGCAGCAACAGAAGACTTGTTTACACCAGCAAGACCCCAAATACATGAGAAATGTGTTGTCCCGTGACATTACAACATCTCTAGCTGATGGGAATCTTTCAGCTCCATTATACTCTTGTGGGACCACTGTCATATATGTAGTTGGTCACTGACCAAAACATCATTATGTGGTGCATGAATGCATGAGTTAAACATTTTGTTGTCTCCCCCACTAATTCTGAGCCCCAGGAGTGCACAGACCTTGTTCCTGCTGTATTTCCAGAGCTGAACAGTGCTTCACAGAGGAGCACGGTAAAGATGTTGACTGAACAAGAGTGCACAGATTGAGCTGAGATTCCTTTCCAGAGTGGTTTCTTACCCTTCCTCCCACAGCTTGCTCCCTTCCAATATTTGTAAAGTTGACTGAAGGCTAAATGCTGGGCACCAAAAGATTGACATGGAAGCTGTACTTTGCTTTATCTCCCTGCATAGCTGTTGGCTAATTATAATTCTCTTTATTCCCAAGCAGCTCCTTTCCTCTGGAGTTTGCATGCAGTGCCTTCAGAATTGGTCACAGAGAGCCTGGTTGAGCAGCCCAGCATCTCCTGCCAGTGTAACCTGGCCCAAGAGGGTGAGGGCTGAGGAAGGAGGGAAGGGAGGGGGTTGCATGGCCACTGATACCAGCCCAGGTCTCAAACCTTTTGGAACCTAGTGTTTGTCTTAAATTCATCTGTGTCAACATCACTACCGTCCTTTTCAGTCTCTCATTACCATTTTCATGATCTTCCCTGCTTTCCATAAGCCCTTGACCTTTTCTGATCTATCTCAGTCTATAAATCTATCCTGCATATTTTAAACTGGCTTATCACACCAACAGATTCTCAATCTTCTCAAACGTCAACAGGAACTTGGCAGTAATTCCTTGTCTAGTTTCCTTATGAAACAACCTTTTGGATTAGACACCAAGAGGTCATAATGTGGACTTTGGGGTTAGCTGAACTCAAATGGGAATCTGACCCCACTCTTTTTTAACTGTGTGACTTTGGCTAAATGAAGTATCTCTCTGATTCAATTTCTTGTCAAAATGTGATTTTTAAAAATATGATTCTCATGTAAGTGTAGCATAAATGAATATAAAAGCCTTATTTAACTCAACAAGGAATGAACCTGCAAGGTGATAGAGCTGTTTCAGGAGCAGACCAGAAAAGATACTTATGCAAGATATGTAGGAACAGATATTAAGTTTAACAGGAAAGGAATGTTGCAGGAAAAATCCTGATAAAACTGATGAATATCATACAGGGCCACACAATTGTTAATTTGAGGGCTACCTTTTCTACTAGATAGAAATAATTTCCATCTCTATTGAACAAAGTTGTCTGCACCTTATTAAGCTATCTCAAGCTAAGATACAAATTTGCACAGTCTTTTCCCCAATTAATAATAAATACTTAAATTAAGCAAAGTCACATTCTCTTAGACAATTAGGAATTCTGTTCAGGAATATCTACTAGATATTGATCCAATATGATATTAAAGGATACTCAACATTCTTTGCCTTTTTCCAGGTTTTAGTAATTTTTCTTAACTATTTTCTCATGTAAAATAGGGATACTGCAACATACATTGCGGAGCAAAGAGGAGATGGTGTATCAAGCCATGTGTATGACGCCCTTTTTTCTTGGTCAACTAGAGGGATAATTTACTAAGTTTTGCTATTCATTAGTTTCTTCTGATGCATCAGTATCATCATGGAGTCACAGCATGGGAGGCACTCCTTTTGCATCCTTGCAGGCTTTGATATTATGAAGCCACCAACCTCTTCTCCTTGTTGATACAAACCAAGGGCTTAGTAGCTGCTTCCTGCCATTACTGTCTCTGAGTTACTATGTTATTCCCTTTTAGCTTTTTGTCTTCTTCAGTATCTGTTTCACAAATTTATTCACTATGTTCTCTGCTAACATAGTAAGTATGGTTTCTGTTTCCCTGAGTTGAACCTGGTTATTCCAAATGAAGAAGGAGCATGTTTCCTCGATTTCTTAAAGATAAGGAAGTTTCCTATAAAAGCACAACAGTACTTCTAAAAATTACATAAATAATCCATTCAAAACTGATACTCTTACTACTTTTGGAAAGTACTGTTGAAATTTTTTTTCTTACAAATGACACCTCTCAAAGCCCTCTGTTTGTGTTTTATCATTTGATCATCAAAGCATTCTTGCGGATTACTTATGACTCTTTTCTCACTTTAAGAAGAAACTAAAGTACATAGCATCCAAATGGCTCCCCAGCATCCCTCCAGCAACTGGTGCATCTGGGATTCAGACCCAGGAAGCCTGAATCCACTGTTTTATAAATTGTGACACATGGGTCATGGGTCTCCTTTGTGTGACAGTGTGTGTAAAAATTACAAACTTTTCAGCATAATTAAATTAAGATAAAGAAAACTTATGAGCAGTGGGAACATTCAATAAAAACCACGGGGCATCCTGATGCAGAAGACGCAGTGTCTTTGCATTTTGTGATTGTTCAGGACCATGGACAGTAACCACAACATGTGTGATGTGTGCCCCCCCCCCTCTCTCTCTCACACACACACACACACACACACACCACTTGTCTCCAGGGCGACATGAAGTATCTTAGTAATTTTCCTAATTGCAGTGTGCAGGCTGTCCTGTTTCATTGTAGGTTGTGCCCTGCAGAAGGGTTCTTGGCTAAAGGGATGAGGGTGGTCTCTGACAAGCTGTTTGACCTTGTTCTGGGAAATGACTCTTTGGAGAAGGGGTACACTTAAAATAGTTTCTGCTAGAAGTATTATGAGCTATAGGTGATCTGTTCTTGTGGTTTGTGGTCAAAAATTTCAAAACTCTATATAGAGTTGGGTAGCTGCAAACAAGACATAGCAAGAGTGAGATCAAGACAGGACTGGTTTGGGTGAGGAGAAGAGGGAAGAATAGTATCGGGGGAATTTAAAATGGAAAATCTAAGGATAAAATGTATAAAGACCATCAGGATGCAGGCCCTGCCAGGAAGCTGCCAAACTGCCATGATGCTGGGTGCCAGGCTTCTGGTGGGGAAGCCCAAGCCAGGAGGGTACAGTTCTCCATGACATGGGGTCTGGAGGTGCCAGGAACCAGGATCCAGGGAGGTGAGGGCTGTGCTGTCCCTATGTGCAGAAGCATCTGATTATAAATTGATTGCTCCATTAAACATCTTCCCTAGACATCTAGAGAGAGAAAGATTTCTAGAATCTGAAATTTCTAGACACTTGAAATTGCCAATTTTATTGTTTTTGTTTTCTAAGTATTATTGGTATTCCATTGTAATTTTATTTTCCTAAAAATATTAATGTTGAACATCTTTTGATGTACATATTTTTCATGAGTATGTCATTTTTGTTCAAAAATTTTCCCCATTTTTATTGAGTTTTGAAAGTTCTATATAAGATACATGATAGAACATACTTTGTACTGTTCTGTGGTTTGTCTTTTAATCATCTCTTTTCAAGAGTAGAAACATTAAAGTTTAATAAGGTCTAACTTATCAAAATCTACTTATTTTTTATAGATCATAAAGATCTTCATTTTAATATTATTTTTATGGTTCTACATCCATTTTTATTTGTACTAATTGGTTACACATGACAGTAGAATGCATTTTGACACATCATACATAAATGGGATATAATTTCTCATTCTTCTGGATGTACATGATGGAGAGTTATAAAGGCTGTGTAATCATATATGCACATAGTGTGGTAATGTCCAATTCATTCTTTCATTTCTACCACAATATCCCATCCCTTCCCTTAACTCTTCTATCTAATCCAAGTACTTCCATTCTTCCATAGCCCCACCCACCTTATTCTGAACTAAATATAAGGATCTTTTTTTAACAATAATTTAATTACACAAATTTATTAAGAAACATCTCAGAAAAGTGGGAGAAAGGACAGAGGAGCAGGGTAGGTAAAGCATCCCAGGGAGATAGTCTCTGATGTCTTCTGCAGGTGGGAGCAAAGGAGGGTCCTGATGTCCAGGTGGAGGCAGAAGTGCTCTCAGCTGGAACCCGGCACAGGAACCTGAGGCAGTCAGCACATCTTGCTCCTGCAGGTCTGCAGAGTCCACATGGCCGATGGCCACACGAGGAGCAAGGCTCCTCAGGGCACAGGTCCTCGGGCTGTACCCTGGTTTGTCTGGACAGCCTTCCCCTTCATTGGAGCCACACTGTGTATATGGCAGGTCTCTGCGCTCTTACATTGCAGCCACATCAGAGCAAGTCATTGCCCAGTCATGCCATAACTCCCAGTGGTCATCTCCCTTTGGGGCCTCCAGACTGTATTCATTTGCAGAACAGGAATAAAGAAGGACTTCAAACATTTTTAATGTGGGTCATGGAGACTGATACTTACTTGTTCAGGAATTAATACTTGTGTGGAACGTAAAAGTAGTTTTCATTTTCAAATCTATAATAGTTTCTTGCTTTAAAAGACTACAACATGTCTACACTAAAAATATTCAATTCCTTTTTCTTCCAACTTGGAATAACTGGTGTGAAAAGGAAGGTAGCACCTCACTCACATGGTGATACTATAACAGAGTGTTCTGTTCCCTAAGACACCTTAGAACAGTCGGAACACCTGGGGGGTTGAGAGAGGGAGGCTTAAAAGTTCATCGTAATTTCTCCATACAGTCCTATACACGATGCATACGTGTCACTTTGGGACAGCAGTAACTGAGGGGGACAGGTAGAGATGTACAAGAAGAGCATTTTCTGGTCCTGAAGCTATGGTGCCAGAGTTCACACCAGAGTTGTTTCTCTGGCTCATGTTAAAGGCAATGCCAGGGGAACTGTAGGACACCAAAAATGACAGGGATGGAAATTAAATATTTCATGCGAGAGGTCAACTAGATACAAGAGAAGACAGTCATTTCTGGGTACAAGGCCCAGTGAATCAGGAGCTTGCCCTGCTCTCCTTATAAGGTCACAAGTCCCACTGGACCCGTGCCCACTCTCCTCTCCATATAAGGACGCCAGTCACACTGAAACAACAGCTTGCCTTACTCCATTATGACCCATCTTAGGTAATTACACCATAATATTGCCATTTTTGAAAAAAAAAAAAAAACCCTTATTCCTAGGTGGGTGATTAGAACCTATGCAAATGCTCTACAAGATATTTAACCCACAACATGCTTATTCCTATTTTTTCTAAGAGTTTTTATCTATATATGTTGAATTTTGTCATTTGACATTTCTCCATCAATCCATACACTCACGCAACTTCCTGGGCTTATCAATGAAGTTCATATCTTTAGTGGGCATGGTCTTGCAAATTCTTGATGCCAAATGATCCAATAACCTTTCACTTAGTCAGCCTCTTAAAGATTCTACTGGCCTGCATCACCAAACTGAGACCAAGCTGCCAATACTGAGCCATTTGGGGGCAGAACAGGTACCCAACGACAACACTATTTATTATACTGTTGATGTCTTTAGGGTCTATTGTAATTAATTTCCATTTAATACTTGATATTGAAAATCTGCCTATTCTTTCCTTCATCAATGTTATCACAAATTTGTGAACTTTTTTTTATCATTTGAAGCAAGCAGCTCTTTGTCTCATAGACTTCTTTTAATCTCTGATATTCATTCTTTCTTCTGCTTGATTTTGGTTTATTTGCTTCTCAACTTCCCACCTCCACAACACCCAAGATTTCCCAGTTGGTAGAAATGATTCTTAATTTGTACCTATTCCTCATTCCTAATGTGTTTTTAATGTTCTCAATTTCCAAGTCCTGCCTTAATTGTATTCTACAAACTTTCAAGTGTTGTTTTTTACTAGGTTCAATTTCTATTTTCTTTCTGTTCAACTTCCTTGACCCATAGATCATTTAAAAATGTGTTTATTTTCCTAGGTTTTGGAGATTTTCTTTTATCTCACTGTTTTCTAGTTTGAGTCCTTTGTGGTGAAAGAACACGCTGAGTTTAATTTCAATTCTTTTAAATTTGGTTACTTAGCTTCACGACATTGGATGTGGTTTATATTGACAATTGTTGGCTTCAGTGGGTTATGGAGACTGATATTTACTTGTTTAAAAATCACAATCAGTTATTTTTTTAAGTCTTATATTTTTAAAATAATATTAGGCTTTGGAAGACCTCTTCATACCTACATTTGAGGTATTCAATTCCTTTTTCTTCCAAATAATTGGTGTCAAAAGGATGGAAGCGCCTCACCCAAGTAGTGATACTGTTGTGGGAGTCAGACATGAAGCACCATATGGCACTCAAAGAGTTGGAGAACTCAAACTTTATTTTATACTGGCAGGCCCAGAAGAGATCAGTTTCCAAATTCTGAGCACCCATCACTACTTTTTCACATTCTTAGGCTATCGAGTGTCATAAATTTTCTAGTCTGAAGATACATGGTAGTACATGGGGTGTCTAACAGAAAGCATGTTTACAGAAGCAGAGTGGGATAAGGTGAAGGACTGGCTCCTCTTTAAAGGCCTTTCATAAATCTCTAGCCTTGGGCTTGGAGCCTGCACAGGGGCTTTTACACTTCAAAGGAGTTGTTAGGTTCCTAGGGGAAGTCATCTACAGTCCAAAAGGTAGGGGTGGATGGTGTTAATCAGGTTCCCTGAAGAGGAACTGACTAGAAAGTGGAGGAAGACTCTCCTTTTCCCAGGCACTAATTCCTATGACAGTGTTCTTACTTTATTTTTCATCCAGGTTGTGGTTACTCATTACAGTCCTGTACCAAAATGCTCTTATTCCCTAAGACATTGTACACATAAATTTACACATAAATCTTACTAAATATGTGCAAGATCTGACTGTAAGGTACAAAACACTAGGAAAAGAAACTGAAGAACTAAGTAAATAATAGTAAGATATATACCATGTTCATGGATTGGAAGACTTGATAATGCTGTTTGTCAATTCTTTGCACATTGATCTATAGATTCAATAAAATTTCAATCAAAATCCCTTTATGTTCAAAACACTAGAAAAACTAGTGATAACAGGAACTTACCTCAACATTGTAAAAGCAATCTATGCTAAGCCTCAGGCCAGCATCATTCTAAATGGAGAAAAATTGAAGGCATTCCCTCTAAAATCTGGACAAGACAGGGATGCCCTCTCTCCCACTTCTATTCAACATAGTTCTTGAAACACTGGCCAGAGCAATTAGACAGATGAAAGAAATTAAAGGCATAAATATAGGAAAAGAAGAACTTAAATTAGCACTATTTGCTGATGACATGATCCTATACCTAGCAGACCCAAAAGGTTCTACCAAGAAACTTCTAGAACTAGTAAATGAATTCAGCAAAGTGGCAGGATATAAAATTAACATGCATAGATCAAAGGCATTCCTTTGATGTGACAAATCCTCTGAAATGGAAATGAGGACAACTACCCCATTCACAATATCCTCAAAAAAATAAAATACTTGGGAATCAACATAACAAAAGAGGTGAAAGATCTATACAACAAAAATTCAGAACCCTAAAGAGAGAAATAGAAGAAGACCTTAGAAGATGGAAAGATACACCTTGCTTATGGATAGGCAGAATTAATATAATTAAAATGGACATATTACCAAAAGCACTTTACAGGTTCAATGCAATTCCGATCAAAATCCCAATGGCATTCCTTGCAGAAATAGAAAAAGCAATCATGAAATTCATCTGGAAAAATAAGAAAACAGACATCTTGCCACACTTCTTCTCTCAGGGGGAAGCATTATAATATACTATATATATAATATATAATAAGCATTATAATATATAATAATAATATCAAATATAATGCTAACTGTAGGGTTTTTTCCCCCCAGATGACCTTTATCTCATTTCCTCCTAGTTGCTGAGAGGTTTTCTCTCTCTCTCTTTTTTTTTAATCAGAAATGGATATTGTGTTTAGTCATCTTTTCATCACCATGACAAAAATTCCTGACATAAACAATGTAAGAGGAGGAAAGGAGGCATCTTGGGAGACATGGAGGTGTGAGATGCTTGAAGAAATAGGTGTTTAAAGAAGACATCAAGAGAGGAGGCTGCTAGGGGAAGCACATTTTTCAGGCCTGATCATTTTGCTTAATGCTGGCTCCAACCATAGTTCTGAGACAGTGAAAGTGAGGATTTACAACCATAAGTCTATGTTACATTCCTGGCCCCATAATTGCTAGATTTGGATCTCAAACACAGAAGCTGCATTTAATTGAACTTTGGGCTTTAACTCAGAGCAAAAATTAATAGTATATTGAACTGAGCTATCTACAAATTCCGTGTGATCTTGGACCAGGCCTTCCAGAAATGTCTGAGATTGTTTTCTCACTGGCAAAGTAGGATCCTGTTTCTTTGCCCATTGGGTAATTGTGCAGATCAATTGAAATAGTCAAGATGATGAGCTTTATAAGATATATTAAAAAAAACTAAACAGGAGTTGTTATTATGTACTTTGCTCCCTGTTTATATTTAGGAGAGCAGAACATGTGGTGGAATCCATGAAAAAGTGGGAAAATATGATTAGATTTAAAAGACTGCCACTAAATGCTGTGTGAAAACCAGAACTCTATACTGAAAGAGGCATATTTGTAATTAACATGGTACAAACACATTCTGCTTCATAAACACTTGGTTCAACTTAGTAAATAATATCTCTATCCCTTTATAAGGAAGGTTTTCTCCTCCTGATTTTTTTGTTTGTCTTAAAAGTTGACACTTCTTTAATATGAAGCATTCAAGACAATCCCACCAAACTCTACCAGGAGATGCAACCTTTCAATCTCAAAAAATCCAGGCCAAGATATTAACAAAATGCAGAAGTTATTTTAAAACCATACAGTAATGGTGAGACTATAATGGATGATGAGAAAATAAGAAGGGAGAGGGAAAGGGAAGGAAAGAGAGAGATGAGAAAAAGATCAAAAGTTTCACAAGCCTCAGGAAGGGAAGTTTAGAAGCTTTTCCATTTCAGGACAACTGCTATTTAAGACTCAAAAGCCCGCATTGAGGGTTTAAATGGATGAGTACTGAAGTGACACCATGTCACTATGGAAAACATTGATTCATTAGGGTGATTTTTCACAATGTTCTTTCCAAAGATGTAAATGTTATTTGTTTCAAACAAGGTAAGGAACAACATGGGTCTAAGTCATAACTTCCCCCAGCTATTCTTTTTTACAGCATAAATTAATGATCTTGCGGTTTGCACTGACAGATATTCAAAGGTGTTTAATCAGCTGTCTCTGACAAAATAAAGCATTTTTTTTAGGCTGGCACATTTACAAATAAAGGGGAAAAAACCAGCCTGTAATCCCTCATAAAGTGGAGCCACTGTTCAGCTCCATTTGATGAAATGACATTCTCTTGAGCACTTTCTCATGAATGCATAAACAGGGCACAGCTTGGGAAGTTCAGGTACGTGCAGAGCATACATATTATATGGGATACATTAGCCAGGTTCTACAAGGAAAGGTGTCTCAACCTTTCTGTCCCAGATAAAAGGGGGAAAAAAGGGAGATGGTATAGCTAAGGGGAAAGATCACCTGTTTGCTTCCAGTGAGTCAGGGTCTTGCAGAAAGAAAGCAATCAGTCCTGCAGAGCAAGCAGGGTGGGAGAGTGGAGGTCATGGAAGCAGACATTGCCTTGAACATAAGAGCGTCCAAGCATGCAAGGGGCAGGTGATTATAATCTGCCCTGATCATTTTCTCCTTGGGAGCAATTTTTTATAAAATGCATAATAAATCCTTGAGTTAAGCTAAAATATTATTGGCAGTTAATGTACCAATGCAGCAATTACTGGACATGCCCTGTTTGCCAGAAATGGAGCCAGGAACTGCAGACCCAAAGATCATGGAGATAATCCTGCCATTGAGGAGCTCATGTTCTCATGAACAGGAATTTTCAGGGCTCTTGGTAGCAACAGCCCTGGATAAGTTAAATAGAAAAGGAAATTTTTTTTCTTTTCACTTTTTTAAAATTGCTGCATGACAGTTGTACATAATGATGGAATTTGTTGTTACGTATTCATACATGCACACAATATCATTTGTCCAGTATCATTCCCCAGCACTTCTTCTCTCCATCTTCACCTCCTACTCCCCGGTCCCTTTCCTCTGCTGATCTCCCTTTGATTTTCACGAGATTCCCTCCCAACTAGAAAAAGTATTTTTAAGAGAATATTGACTGGCAAGTATGGATAAACAAAATGTGGTAAAATGGAATACTATTCAGTGATAAACAAGGGACAAATATTGTTACATGCGATGACATGTCTGAACCAAAAAAATTAAAATGATGAAACGTTGTGGGAAAAGGCAAACAGAAAAGAATACATAATGTTTGATTCTATGTATATGAAATTTCTAGAGGAGTCAGGAAGTCAGAAAGCAAGTTGTGGTTGCTGGGGACTAGAGACATGGAAAGGGCAAATGGGCAAGAATGAATTTTCTGGGTGATGGAATTCTGAAACTGGATTGTGGTGATGGTTACACAACAACTCAAATTTATTAAAAATAATTGAACTATGTTCTTACAATGGGCACAGTACATAAACTGTATCTTAATAAAGAGACATCACAACTAAAAAAGAATATTTTCCCCCAAATATGTACAATTATTATGTGTCATTTAAAAATAAAGTAAGAGGATGCTGAGGGGCTTGCAGAATCTGTGAAGGCTGGTTGACTAAACAGGAGTGACCCTGTGAAGGCACCATTGGGCACAGCTACCACTTATACCAGTAATGCCACCAGTAGGGGACCCCAGATGTGGCCATTACTGCTGTGGTCACCCTCACCAGAATGAGGTCCCCAGGGTCTCTGCCTCTCTGTGTCACAAATTTTTGACCCAGGTTTGACCCAGAGCGTATGATTGGAGGAGAATATCAGAATTTCTCAGGTCAGCTGAAAGGAAGCCTGGAAGAGTGGGCATTAGGCATTTTCCAGTTTTTTTTTTAGTGGAACAAATACTTATAAGAAGTGGGGGAGGCACTCTGAGTATAGGAAGGGGTCAGAGGGCAGGTGGCCAAGAAGAAAGACACACATGCACTATAGAGCAATAAAATGTGTTTCAGAGGTATGTTCAACAGAAGCATGTGCAGAGAGCTTCAGGGGCAGGAGGAGGTGAAACCTGACCCATTGGGTGCTGAGATATGGGTCATTACTCCTAAGGAATATCTAAGGAAGATTTTGTGCCTTAGTGAGGAGTGTGAATGAGCCCAATGAATACACTCTAGACAGGGAAGAGTAGAGATGTTTAGTTTCCAGAGTATTGAGGTGGGATGAGGACCGATGTGCTATGTCATGATGGGAGCTTAGAGTACATTTTAATTGCACCAGTATCATATGAAGGCTT